CCGCTAAAACTCCCGGAATTTAAACTTAATTTCACACAATTTAATTTTCCCATTAATTTAACCAGATTTTTACCCCAAAGAATAATTCAATGAATTATATTTTATAACCAGTTGTGAGTATTTATTTATATTAATTTAGATTTTTGTTAAGAATTATTCATTAAATTGTTTATTGAATTAAAGCGTCTGGTACAGTTATTTAAATTTCCGTTTAGTTTTCCGATTAAATCCAATTGGGTGGTCCAGGGACATCTTTTATGACTGTCAAATCGTCCACTACTTTCCCTTTCTATTATAAAAATAATACTAAAATTATAATTTATGCTAACATTTAATTGTTTCAAACCTTATCGTCAGATATTTGCTTGATATTGACGTGAGTTTTATTTAATACAGTCATTACACTGTATCCATAATCAGTATTATTAACAGCAATATAGTATTGATGATCATTAATCTCAGTTTGTTTCATAAAACATCCCTATTAACACATTGTAGATACAAAAATTGACAGCACATACAAAAGTTTTATAAGTTATTTAACATACAGCAGATCCAGAAATGATATGTACAGGTGCTTTTGGATTGGTATAGGGATCTGATTGAGTGTCATTGAATACAGTGTTGTTATATATGGGCCAAAGTCTTGCGTATATGTGTTCGTGAGCCCAGAATTGAATGTCGACCCCATGTCTGTAAAATAGATCTTCCAAACCATACAAACGACAATTTTTTAGTTCAAAAATAATTCCTTTAATAATCGATGAAAGATATGTTGAAGCAATAGATGGCTATCATTAGTGGAATATTTGATAATCTTAAATATTATGTGATTACAGATATAATAAAGTTTAAAGTATTTTATTTGACAATAATCTCATAAATGAAAACAAATAATGAGAAAATAGAGCCCAGAATTAAGGGTCCGATTGCTATCTTGGTGTTTGACACCGAGAACCGATGATTTCGACTAATATGAATGTACTGGCTTTCAGCTTGGTAGAATTTCCAACCAAATTCCAAGGCATCTGAAGTCCATTTGGCACGCAATCCCCTCTCAGTGATGTCATACATTCTGATGAAAACACGATTAATAATTTAATTGATTTATTTGTAAATCATTAATTCATTAATTTATAAAAATCTAATCAAAACATACATTCTCTCTGTTGCGTCAAACAAAATATTGTCGATATGTTTACTGAAGTATAAACTGCTGTATCGATTCGTATTGACTTCTGAGCCGAAGAAGAGGTTAGGGTCGTCCCCTTTCAATAGGGTAAGGGTATAGAGATCACCGATAATACAATGGGTCCTAATCTTAGACTTAATAATCGGTGCATTCTTTGCCAAATTGAGTAATTGGGTATCGGTTTCAAAGTCATTATTGGATTTACTTTTACGTATTATTGCCTTTTCATTTGGTTCTCCATTTGCCTACATATTACAGAAATTTTCATTTTGATTACTTTTAGAATTATAATATTTGGATGTATAAATTGACAAGCATATAATGAACATTACTTGAATTTTTCTGATATCCACTTCTCTCATGTAAATGAATGGCAATATATCATCCCTTTCTAACAGATCCTCAAATGTGTCGATAATAGTGTATTCTTTACGCATAGTTCGCGATAGAGTTAGGCTCGAGAAGGATTGCAACAAAACCACAGACATTATAGACACCAAACCGTACATCATATACAGAATTAGTGGATTGAAATCATTCCTAAATTCTGGGGTTTACAAACAATTATTCAATCATTATGAACTTAGCTTTTAATTTTAATTCTTACTTTTAAAACAAACTATTTTCAAAATAACAACGAATTCATTAAAAAATATTTTCAACCAATATTTATTACTTTGTTGAATCCATTTGTATGTTGCAGTCACACAATATATTCCCAATATTGATACAAACATTAAAAACCAGATCTATTTATATGAAAATTGTAAATGTTGATTGGTATTTTGTTAAATAATCTAAATTTAGATAATAGATACTGTACCCATAAGTCAAATATTCCAGTTATGGCTAAAAAATTATCTAGTGTATTAGGTGGGTATTGAATTCCCAAAATATTCATAATGGGTCTGACGTGAAATGCTGGCACAGATACCTTACTTGATTCTATAATTTTATCGGTGATGTCATCAAATCCTAAATACATCTCAATTCTCTGTCAAGGATTTCAAGAAATTTGATATAAAAAACCAAAATAATACATAAACTAAATCAAATATAATTACATTTTGAATGACATGATCTTCAAAATATCCTTCAATTCCATCGTAAACCCAATTAGATTTTGTAGAATTTCCTCTCTCAATATATATTGGAATAGCACTATGGTTAATTAACATTTTTATTATATTACAGTCTGCCCCCGAAATAAGGTAACTCGGTATAAGGTAAACCCCGTGATAAGGTGCATTAGTTTACTGCACCGGCAGTTTATTACTGTATTGGTTCACGTCTTGAAGACATTTGTGGCTCAAGTCTAGTGTTGTCAAGGGATCTGCTTTTGGACGGAAACAGAGAGATGGACAGCAATGGGAACGACATCCAAACAAACCCATCAATGGTTGCAATGAATGGTTAATCACAATCTCAATGTCATTATCAGTTGTCATCCATTTTGGTATTCATTGCTATCATTGCATTCACAACACATTCACTGTCAGAGTGAGACATCTGTCGACACTAACACACAATCACTCACTTGTTATGCAATTCAATGCACTTTTCAATGAAGTATTAAATACAGGTACAGTCTGCCCCCGAAATAAGGTAACTCGGTATAAGGTAAACCCCGTGATAAGGTGCATTAGTTTACTGCACCGGCAGTTTATTACTGTATTGGTTCCGTATAATGTTTATCCCGAGATAAGGTAGACCCCGAGATAAGGTAATGTTTTCTCATGCACCGATGAAAACCTTATCTCGGGGTCAGACTGTATAGGTAATAGATTGAATTTTTTCTGAAAATCAATATAACAAATATTTCTTACTTGTATTGCAGTCGTCTGGTTAACTCTTTAATAATGAAATAATAAGGACTACACAAAAAGTTTTCGGCCTCTCCTAAAATCTATACAATTAGTGATTAATAAATAATTTTTTAATTAATTAATTAATTAATTAATTAGTGATAAAATATAATAAACCGCATATTCCCAGCTGAATGTGAAGTTTTTCTTCGCCTCAAATTCATATCCAAATGTTTGTATGTGATTAGGTTTAAAGGTGTCTGGTCCATAATAACACTCAAAGTTTGCTTTTATTGGAAACATTATGATTGTAAATTTATATAAATTTAATATTAGTAATTTTAATTTATTATTATCACAGAAATCTACTAATAACTTAACTAAGAATTTAACTTTTAATTGTATATACGTGATCAGAGATAGTATATATTATAGAATAATCAATGTTTCTTATTATGATCTAAATAAATTATTTACAGTGATATTTTATCTAAAATTTACAATATATAAAAGTTATAATCTAAATTCTGTAAAATCTCAAACTTATAATTTTGATATAAACAGATTTTTGCATTAACAAATAATGATAACTAAATGGTTGAATGTCAATAAAGTTGGCGGATAATAATGATTATTATAATATTATAAATTATTAAACTAATTAATTTTTTTGTTTCAAATATCTAGACAAAACAATCTGAATAAAAGAAATTTGAATAAAATAAAAATTTCGCAAGAATAATATAATAGATTAATGTTTCTAATACCATTTTTACAATTAGTACAATGGTACTTGTTTTAATTTTTATTATCACGTATACAGTATATGTTTTTTGTATTTGAAATATATTAGTTATATAAATTACAAAACAGGATAGTTTATATACAGTAGATCATACTACTGTAAACGTAAATGTAGTATTTAAATAATAAATAATAAAATAAAACATTTACTAACTAGAAACTTGATAGAAACTTATTTGATTTGATTGATTGCCTATATTGAAATACAACATTTTGTTTAAACAGGATTCCCTTTAGGCTTAAGTCAATAACTATTTCATACACTTTAAGTAATTTATTTTGTATAACTTTTCCAGTTTTATAAATATTTTTTTGATTACTCAATAAATATAATATTCATTTAAATAAATTTTATGTATATTTATTTGTGAGAGAATATTTTAAAACTAATTATGAGATATTAATATTTAAAATAATATATAATTTTATATTTAAATTTAAATAACTGTATAAGTTACAAATTGTAAAGAATTATATAATAATAATACATCAAATGAATAATTAATAAAGTTATGTTAATTTTACATTTTGTTTTCATCCTGATTGTTGTGGTGTTATGCAAGTCAGATGATAAGCCAAGTACAGCATACTACCAGCCCCAACAAATTCACTTATCATTTGGAGGTAAGAATTTAATTTATTCAATTTAATTATGCAATTTGTAATTTTAATAACATTATTATATTGTATATAGCAAGCAAGAGCGAAATTATTGTAACATGGGTTACATTTAATAAAACTGAATCCATTGTAAAGTATGGAATAAATAGATTGAATACTTCGGTCAATGGAAGTGTCACTCTATTTACTGACGGAGGGACTGAGAAAAGACTATTATATATACATAGAGTTGAATTGATAGGACTTGAACTCGGAGTTAAATACCGTAATTTAGACTAATTTTAGATTATGAAATTAATAAATTAAAAATTCTTTTAATTTGCTTATAATTTGCATTTAAATGTCAAGAATATCACTGCGGGAGTAGAGAGGGCTGGAGTTCTTTGTATATGTTGACCACATTGAAGGAAGGGGTTGACTGGAGTCCTAAAATTGCAATTTATGGTGATTTGGGTAATGTTTTGGCAGAAAGTTTAGCCCCACTTCAGGAGGAGGCGCAGGAAGGAGTGTATGACATGATTATGCATTTGGGTTCGTATCCAAAACTCTTGTATATTAGTGTCGACCGATAATTATTGTTTATATTTTCAGGTGATTTTGCTTATGATTTGCATGACGTGAGTGACAATTGCTTAAATAATTTGTTGCATCTATTGTTTGAATATAATTTATATAAATATAGTATATATTTGTCAATTCAGGACAACGCAAGAGTTGGCGATGAGTTCTTCAGACAAATCGAGACAATGGCGGCGTATGTGCCCTATCAGGCCTGTCCCGGCAATCATGAGTATTATTAGTACGATATCTCATATTTGTTTAATAATTATTTAATTTTTAACACAATCTTAATATTTTGGCAGTAATTTCTCCAATTATGACAACAGATTCTCATTGAAGTCCGAGGGAAGTACTCTTATAAATAACCACTACTGGAGCTATAACATAGGCCCGGCTCATTTCATTTCATTCTCTACGGAGTTTTACTATTATGAAAAATATAAGATTGAAACTGGCCCTGAGCAATTGAAGTATCAATACGATTGGTTAGAAAATGATTTAAAAGAAGCGAATAAACCCGAAAACCGGGAGAAACGTCCCTGGATTGTGACTATGGGTCACAGACCTCCCTATGGACTCAACTCAATGGATGATAAAGTGCTAAATATTTGAATAATAACTTAAATTTTGCATATGATAAATTATGAAAATTTATACCCAGATAAGATTAGGCATAAAAGTAAATGAAAGTCGTTTGTATGGTTTGGAAGATCTATTTTACAGACATGGGGTCGACATTCAATTCTGGGCTCACGAACACATATACGCAAGACTTTGGCCCATATATAACAACACTGTATTCAATGACACTCAATC